CGGACGTTATCATCCGCGATAAATTATATTTCATTAAATTATTTTTTGTTTACCATTTTAGGAGCTTTTCTAATTATTGATGGTATTAAACCTTTTAATAATTAGAAAAAAATAGCTTCGACGTTTAGAAAGAAAATAAATTTTATTATTTGAAATACGAGTTTTGACTAGGAATAGGAATGACTTTTTCATCATAGATGATTAACAAGATATGAATGGTTGTTTAAGAATATATTTACAGCTACTTATAGTTTTTTTAATTTATTTATTAAAATTCTATACCAAATTACAAAGTCAAAGTTACGTATGTTCTCTTTTATAAAGAGATGATAAAGAGGTGAGCGAGCATAGGGGTTTTACCGGTAGTCCCGTTCAAAAATAATTAATAAACTATATATGGCGTGTTTTTGACCGGGACTACCGGTTGACTTTAAATGATGCTAATATGATGTGATGATAACTGCGCTATCTATCACGAAAACGATTTAACGTACAAAAAAATTTTTGTAACAAAAGTTCTAATAAATTTAATCCTCTAAAATATTAATACCAAATACAAATAGCGAATAACCCATAGGATACGAGATATTTGTAAAAAATGGGCAATAAATCGAGTTTTTTCACCTTTGAGTTAATAGAAGCGTGCACCTTACCATATGTAGGTTTTGAGACAACTTTTAGAATGTCAAAATACAAGTTTATACGAATTTATAGCTCAGTATCTAAAATTCCAGGATTCTTCTCTAATTTGACTGGACTAGAAAGTTTGTCAACACCGGAATCCATAGAAAAAATACAGGATATCGTATTGATAAATCGTCGAGTGACTGAAAGAGATTTAGTAAAAGCCCTAGACATCTCATTGGTTAGTGTAATCAATATTTTGACTGAAGTATTGGGTTTCAAAAAGCTGTGTTCACAATGGATGACGTATTTGCTAACAAAGGAACAAAAACAGATTCGAATGCAACTTTTTTTAGCAACATTTAGAGCGTTTTCGAAAGAATAAAGTGGCTTTTGAGCGTCGATTCAACACAATGGATGAGACTTGGATCTATCACCATGATCCTGAATCAAAACAAGAGGCTAAAGAGTGGTATCAAAGTGATTCTTTGGCTCCGAAACGAGTTCGTGTCCAAAAATCAGCCAAGAAGGTGTTAGCATCAGTATTTTGGGATGCGAAAGGAATTTTGTTTGTGGATTACTTGCAAACTGGTAAAACAATAAATTATGAATATTATTGTAACCTTTTAGACCAGCTAAAGGAAAAAATTCGTTAAAGAAGATCCGGTTTGCAGAAAAAAATCCTTTTTCATCAGTACAATGCACTGTGTCACAAGAGCATTTTGACAATAGCTAAAATCCATGAATTAAATATCGAATTGTTGGATCATCCACCGTATTCACCAGATTTAGCCCTTAGCGACTTTTATCGGTTTCCAGACCTAAAAAAAATCATGCGTGGAAAGCGTTTTTCTTCAAATGATGAGGTCATAACAGCTGTGGAAGCGTATTTTGCAGCCCTTCCAGATTCTTACTTCAGAGATGGAATTTATAAATTAGAATCTCATTGGGACAAGCGTATTGATGTTCAGGGAGACTATACTAAATAATAACGTTTATTTCAAACCTTAAAATTGTGTTTTTCTTATCGAACCGCAAAACTTATTGAACAGCCTTGTACGTAAACAAAAAAAAATTGAAGATAGCAAGAATAAAAAAGAAAAATMAGAAAATAGTTTACAAGATTTCAAGTCATGTATGTGTGAAATATTTCAAATCACGGTACTACTTAAAGTGTGACTTCACAGGTCGTACACCAAAACCTTGCTCCCTTGCATTTTCCATTTTCAATTTTAGAAATTTTGCTAGCAATTATCAAATGTCTATTATCTGCAAAATGCAAAAATTTGCAAAGAAGTCAAAACTTTTCTGCAGTTAACACTTTACTAACAAAAGGTGTTGATACACTTTCTCGTTTCAAAAAATACATTTGTAGTGTTGGCTTTCTGATGATACCCTGCAATATCAACATTGCGATAAAAAATCTCATTTCGTTATAATTTGTCGAATACTAATCCTTCATTCTTAACCGTGGCTTTAACTTATGATTTTCAAGATATTTTTGTGCATACAAAATCGTTTATTCCACAAYGATGGATATGAATTTACTACCTAAAAATTTATCCAAATGAAATAAACACTTTTTGAAGKGAAAACTTCTTTAGAATAGGAGTGATCT